GCTTTAATGCATCTTGTTAGTCTTTTTCTCTCATTCTCTACAAAATAAAGACAGTTTTGTCCTCACAGTGTACAAAAACAAAGAAATCCAGATGAGAGTCAAACAAATGTAAAAATTCACCAATAATTGCTGAAAGCATGGCGTTTGGATTCGGCATATTCCTGTAGGATATTTATTGCGCTCTCTGTTTTCCCTGGCCGTTTCTTCCCATCGATCTGCTCTTCCAGTTTCGCTCCTCCGAAATGTAAAGCCTCTACTTTTACAGTCCCGCAGTGCTGCAGCGCAGTTTGAGAGCGTTTATTCAGTCTATCTGAGCCTCTTCCACTTTTTATGACACGAATGTGAATTGCTTTTACAGCAAAAGACCTGTTTTGATAGCACTATTATCATTTCTCTCCGAGTGAGTGTTGGCTGCAATCCGCAAGCAACTGTGGTTAACAAATGTTCCAGGACGAGGGATAAACTGAGGTAAAGGGATGCTGTGCATGCGTATGTGTGTGTCTGAGAGACAGAGATACAGATTATGTGTCTGAAAACGCTTACTGCGACTAAAAGGGAACCCCTCTGTGTAAATTCACACATATGAGCTTTGTTTGGCTTCCGGCGGAGCCCCCTGTGGTGGCATCCCTTCTTAATGAACATAATGAGTGGCTTACTAAGGGGTGGGAACAGGATCCTAATGCTTGGCCACAACTTAATGAGTGGGAATGATATAATTAAGTTGTGATAGTTTAGTCATGGCCACAACGTAGAGACAGCTCATTCTATAATATCATGCTATAATAAGTGAGGCCCACAACTAAACTATCTTATTCTCATGCCTTACTAAGTCATGCCCGCAACTAAACTGTCTCATTCTTGTGCCATACTAAGTCATGCCCGCAACTAAACTGTCTCATTCTCGTGCCATACTAAGTCATGTCCACAACTAAACTATCTCATTCTCATGCCATACTAAGTCATGTCCACAACTAAACTATCTCATTCTCATGCCTTACTAAGTCATGTCCACAACTAAACTATCTCATTCTCGTGCCATACTAAGTCATGTCCAAAACTAAACTATCTCATTCTCATGCCATACTAAGACATCCCCACAACTAAACTATTTCATTCACATGCTATACTAAGGCATGTCCACAAGTAAACTATCTCATTCTCGTGCCATACTAAGTCATGTCCACAACTAAACTATCTCATTCACATGCCATACTAAGGCATGTCCACAACTAAACTATCTCATTCTTGTGCCATACTAAGTCATGTCCAAAACTAAACTATCTCATTCTCATGCCATACTAAGGCATGTCCACAAGTAAACTATCTCATTCTCGTGCCATACTAAGTCATGTCCACAACTATACTATCTCATTCACATGCCATACTAAGGCATGTCCACAACTAAACTATCTCATTCTCGTGCCATACTAAGTCATGCCCACAACTATCTCTTTCTTGTGCCATACTGAGTCATGTCCAAAACTAAACTATCTCATTCTCATGCCTTACTAAGTCATGGTAATGACTTACTGATCTTATTCCCAAGCCTAACTTAATCATGACTATGACCTAATGATCTCATTCCCATACTTTATCAAGTCATATCCAGGACTTAACTATCTCATTCTCACCCCTTACTAAGTCATGGCTACGCATTAGGATCCCATTCCCACACTTACGTAAGTTGTGGCCACATTATATTTATTAAGATGGGATCAGCAGGGCTCACATTTATTAGCCTCTTTCCTTACAAGGCCATGATTCCTGAACCAATCCCAGGCCACTTCCAGAGCTCTTCCACATCAGTCAGGAACAGCATGGAGGCTAATCTAACAAAGGTGTGCTTGTGTGTCACTCGCAGGCTCCGTCTGACTGACAGATGGGGCACTATCAAGCTCAAAAACCATTCAACATGCACACATACAATCAGTCCATGTTTGTGTTTGGTGCTGATGGTCGCTGATGGTCTTGTCCTACAGAGCAACACAAAGTGGAATGGGAGGAGCTACTCACGACTGGAAACTGTAGTCTTCCTGACAGTATAACCTTGTCTTTTCTTTAAAACATGATATCTCGCTGTTGTCGGAAGAAAACCTCATATCTCCAAAATGATAACTTTACAGTAGAAGGCAAAAAACCTGCTTTACTTTCAGTGTAAGTCAATGGAACCAGACTTTTTTTTCAAGTCATTTTAGGTCATTTCTTTTAGTCCATTCATCATGAAATTTACATACAATGTAAAGGACAACAGGTATCTTCAAATGATGTCAAAAACTGAATAACATCAAAAACGGAGATACAAGGTTTTCTTCCAACAACAGCGATATGTTCAAAAAATGCTCAAGCTTTAAAGGTTGAACGTAAAATCTTATTCACATGTTTTGAATGGTGATGATTTAAAAAACTCTTGGTAAACTCATTTTTTACCATATTCAAACTCGCCTCAAAAATCAGGGAGAGGAAAATCATTCTCCATGAGTTTCAAATCATTTGATTGGCCAGTTTCCTAGGATTACTGAAGAATTTTGATTGTTTTATTTTTGTTCTGTTTCTACGTTTTGCCTAAACTATGTCTGCGACTTCACTCAACAGGGCATTTAGAGCGGTGCAATGGTTTATAGTAACATACCAAACAATGCAATTTACAGTAATTTGCTGGCAGCAGAGTTTATTACTGTAAATATTTTACAGCACTCTGGCAACTGCACTGCCAGTAAATTACTGTAAATTTTACGGTACTTTTTCCAGTGTGTGGTTAAGTGGGCAAATGGTATTCAACAACTACTCTTGTAACAAATACTGTGGCTTCAGAAGAAGGTGAAAAGATTCAACACTAAAAACTGACATCAAGATTTTGAGAAGTGGGGTTTGCTGGTCGATAAATTTGTTTTGAATTTTTTAAAAATATTTTACTCTCCAGAATCATGCTTTTTCATAGGACTACACCACTCATGATCTATCAGAAAAGCAATGATGAACAGCAACAGTACATTGACGATAGGGTAGATATACCTCTTTTTATGAAATCACTGTGTATATTTTTACTTAGAATTTGAATCTTCAATGTTTCTGCATAATTCAGTCATTGAGATGTAAACAAAGTCATTCAGAGTGGATGTCACTGAATAGATTAAAACAAAAATACATTTTAGGGCAAAAATATATATCAAAGCTGTTGTCTCAGGCATCAGGAAGCATATTCATAACAATTCAGTGTAATAATTTTCTGTGAGGCAGCTTCTAAAAGACATTAAACATTTCAGACGTCTGGTTCCCATCACCACCAGTCTAAACAAGCCTCACTTTAAAGATTTAAAGGGCAACTCCACCGACTGTTCAAACTGTCTGCACAAGTAAATGGTTAAGATGTAAACAAAGTCATTCAGAGTGGTTTGGTGTGAAATGCTCGGTTCTAGAGAAACTTAAGACTCATAATTGTTCAAAGTGGAGGTGATAGGAACCAGACGTCTGAAGAGTTTAATACCTTTGAAAGCTCCCTTACAGAAAGTTATTACATGAAATGGTTATGAATATGCTGCCTGATGCCTGAGCCATTGTTTTGTGATAAAGCTTTGGCTTAAAACGTATTTGAATCCATTTATTTTAATCTAATTTTGGCAGAGAGATACACACAGGGCAAAATAATTCCCAAAGGAAACTTTTTTCAGGTTTTCCACTATTTTACCAACATTACATATAATACTCTGAAGGTACGTGTAGTTTCACTGGTAGTTTTGGATAGTAAATAACAAAGGTATATTTGTGTGGTACACATTGTGACTCCTGGTTCCCATCACCACCAGTGTAAGGAAATTTGAGTCTGTAAGTTTGCCTACAGTGAAGCACTTCACATCAAACCACTCTGAATGACTCAGAAATTTTGAAAAAAGGGTGGAATTCCTCTTTAAATGTGCAGAAATATTGAAAAATTGGTGGAAGTCCTCTTTAAGCTTCACTTCACGTCCTGATAGTAAAACTAAATCCATTATTGTTAATATTTTGCGTACTAACCTGTTAAAATCTTACATTATTACAGATATTTTGTAGTATTACTGTTTAGCATACAATTGGGACACAGCTTTAAAGGCCGTTGGATTGGATACCAAGGCAAAGAAGATCTTAGGGCCCATCTGGGTCTCTACACAGTATAATGTGTGTGTGTGTGTGTGTGTGTGTGTGAGAGAGAGAGAGAGAGAGAGAGAGAGAGGGAGAGGGAAAAGTGAGGAATAACTGTATAACATATCATGGTTGTTAACATGCAGGATTGAATGTCACCATTTATTTGAGCGTACGTATTTCCTTACACACGTGGATCTAATCGTGAATGCAAGGTCACCATGAATCAGGTTGTTTGTTGTGCGAGAGCCAGAGTTTCTGCGCTCTGCACCACTCTGCAGATTTCTTTAAACAAACGAGTAAACCGAAAGCATGCTTTTAGCTTGTTTGAGGTTGGAGTAGATTTGTGGGGAAAGTTGTGTATAAGTGTCAGTAAGCCTGGTCTCGTCAGCTCCAGCCATCATGAGCCCAGCAATGACATCTGGATTCAGTACGTGGAATTGAGGAGGCGGAGTCTGATTGGTTGCAGGCATGGCAGGCGAAGGAGGATGGCAGTAAATCCTGCCGCATCACGACTCTGGTAATTTGATTCTTTGGCTCGTGTTTAAGACACGTCCCGAAACGGGCCGGCTCGTTCTTTTGCCAAGGCCGCGCTTGTCCGGGCAATATTGTCACCTGGTAATCGAGGCTACGTTAAGCCTGGTGAGGCATTAGGTCAGATGCCTTGCCAAGCTTATAGGACCACTATTGGAGTTGTGGGTATGCCTGTGTGCATGTATGTAATTTGTGCGTGCACCTTCCAAAACTTCACAAAATGTTATACCATAATCCAAGTACAGCGTCCCGGTCATGGGTTAGAGGACATGGCTGCTGATCTTTATCCACGGGCCACTTTATGAGCGAGTGATTATCCCTGCTGAGAAACACAACACCAGGAGCCACACCAGGGGGATTACTGGCCTCTATATTTAGGGTTTTATGTACATGAATATTGGCAGAAGCACTCTGTACATGTGACAGGCAGAGCAGACACAGAGAAAGAGCACATTTACAGAATCCCAGACCAATTTACTCACTGAATGACATAATACACAGACAAAAAGGACACGGGGGGTGGGGGCGGGGGTCAATGACACCTCAACAACTGCCCGACTTCATCAGAGAATTTTACAACATTTTTTTTATATCAGAAATAATTATAGCCAATAACGCACAAAAAATATAACAGTTCAAATAACAAAACGAAAACATTAAGAGGTATAAAATAATTTAAGAACTTTTCCTAAACATGTCATGAATACTCAAGTGAGAGAGCAAACGGGGGGAGGCAGTAGATATCTCAAAAGGGTTCAATGGAGGGAATGCTGCAGGGACAGATGAATTAACGCAGTTCTCACGACATGGCCGAAACAATATAACCCCCGACGACAGCTCCTAGCGCCTCTCCATCACGAGGCAGCGGTCTCGACTCGTTAATGGGACTTGTTACGAGAAATATACAGGACTATCTCTCTCTAAGAAGCAGTTCAGTCTCTGCCACACAAAGCTGACGGTGTGCACCAAGTAGTCAGTCTGCAAAAAAACAAACTTAGTAGAATATCACTTCCAGTTAAATAAACTTCTTTTTTCTCTCATTATATATATAATATATTTACTTCTGTGCAGAGTCTGTTTTATGTTTTTTTTTTGCATTTTTGCTTAAGTATTTCTTTTATTTTAGCAGTACTTCCTTGTTTTCACCAGTTTGCTCTGGTACTTGACCGAGTGGCCGCTGTGGCCCACCGCATAAACATCCAGCAAATAGCTCTTGCCAGGCTCCAGCCCGCCAACGGTCTCCGTGGTGACAGCCTTCTGTGGGTTGGCACTGTGGAAATACTTGCAGAGCACCTTCTCGGACTTGCGACGGTTCTGGGGCCCGGCACACTGGTTCTGCTCCCGGCGCCGCTGCTCTTCTCCGTAGGCCTCGTCAACTTGCCGTCGGTACACACAGTACTTGTTCCTCTCCTGCGTGCCCAGCCATGCCACCGTGACGGAGGTGCATGTGCGAAGCTTGTCGAAGGCTTTGACGCGCGTGTCCTCGGGTAAGGAAGGGAAGGGCTGCTTGGCGCTTTGGCGCGTGCTTGCCAGAACCTTCAGCGTAGAGGCACCTTTGCGGGATCCCCGGAGACGGATCAGGTACTTGGCCTTGGGTTTGCCACGCAGCTGGAACTGCCGCACGCCCTCAACATTTTGCGAGAGGAGGAGCTTGCCATCGCGGCGCACCTGCAGCTGCACGGCATCCAGGCAGGCGTGGACGTAGAGGGTCACCCGCTGGTGTGAAGAAACCGGGGCAAAGCGCAGGAACTTGCTACCCTTCCTTTTGATGAAAATATCTGCCACTTTGCCGTCCTTTAGCTCCACCGTCTTCTGCTCGGCCTCCTGCTTGGTGCGGGCAAAGGTGCCCACATAGGCCGTGCTTGTGTTGGTGGCTGTGTTGACGGCGAACACGTCAAAGTAGTATTGTGTATCTGGCTTCAGGTCTGAGATAGTGAAGATGTTCTTGTTGCCGATGCAAATCTTACGAATGTCTGAGATTCGAGGTTTGGGGATGTAAGAGCGAGACAGCTTGCCACCCAGTGCCCGGTTAGTGGCCAGAGAGCGATCCTTGAGGAAATCATTCTCAGATGGGACAAAGCCAAAGTGGGCAAAGTCGAATGGGCTGAAGTCCCGGCCTGGCTTTGGTGCAGCCATGAAGACGTCGTCCATTCCCATTTTGGCCTCAGCGGCGCACAAGCTCTTAAAGTTGTGCTCCTTGTTGATGACCACGCAGTACTGCACAGGCTGACCCATCAATGAGCCTGTGGGTGTGGGTTTCCAGGCCAAGGTGACGGTAGTGCGACCCAGGGCAGTCACGTCCACTCTTGGGTCATAGGGAAGCTCGGGGTAGGGTTGGTCAGATTCTGGAGTGGTTGTGGCATAGATTTTGAAGTTGCTGTCCTTCTCAGTGGAGAGGATCTCCAGCTGGTAGAGGCCGGACGGTGAGCTAGTGGACACAAAGGATTCCACATCGTTGCCTTTGTAGGAGAAGAGCTCAGTGCCTTCACTGGCCGTCACCTGCTGCTTCTGCTGCTCCAGAGGCTCTGGCTCACCTATGAAACATAAAAAAAATTAACACATGGATTAGATTATTGTGCCTATGGGCCAAGGCTGATGCCAGTGCATAAACATATGAATAAAATGCAGATATTTTATTGTTGTAGCTCAGGATCACCTCAACTTTCTGTTCTTCTGCAGTACGACAAAGACATCATCAAATATTTGTTTAAATATCTGTCAAATCTAAATATCTGTTCGATGCCGATACTGACATGATCATGAAATTATCGTGCATCCCTAAAATGTAAAGAGATGACACACTAACAGATTAAGGAATTTATTCACGACTATTTGAGATTATTGACTATTCAGGAAATTAACTTTTATGAGGTGCTCAGACTTCCACATCCAACAAATCCACCTATTCTATGCTATAATCATGCACTTCCACTTTTGACCCACGATCCTTGCTTTTTTACCATTTTTACTTGTTTGTTTTCCTTCTCTCCTTCACCAGACCCCAATTAGCGGCAATGCCAAACAACCTGTAGCATAATGGAGTGTTCTGGGTTTTACACTGGTCCTGGTGAGGTCACTGTGACTGTCCTGGGCCCTAGTGCACGATTAGCCGTTGGCGGCACTAGCCAAAGTGTTTTCTCTCTAAACCACGCTCAACATCACAGCCCTATGTTCACTTTGCCTTCCCCACAAACCCCTGCTCTGCACAGAGGTGCCTTGTAGCCTCCGTGGTCCCCATCTGGGCCCTCTCGTTTCAGCCCGGCGAGAAAGCATAATATTATGTTTGTCAACCGGAGAGAGCCCTCGCCGACGTACTAAATTAACACACGTCGCGCTCAAAGACGCCGCTCCCTCCGGAGGCATTCAGCAAATATGGCAAAGGGCTCATGGATTATGTACGGACACCCAGTGCTTGTGTAGATTCATGTATATTTCTGTATATTTACAGTATACAGTATGCTGTGAGGAAAACTGTACAGTTCTATATCAATATGTACACATGAATACTTTCCAAAGTTTTGTCAGGCTGAGCCTGAGCAATTCCAATTCCTTCCTCAGGTCCACTGTTTGTGCCATGATGGTTCACATTTGTGTATCTGAGTGAGAAAGGACCCACATGTGCACATCTTATCATCATTCATTACTTACAATGCTGGATAATGAAAACTTTCTAAACGTACTAATTTACAGATATGAAGAGAAGCGTCAGGTAAAAAAAAGCTGCATGGTCAAGTGCTATATCCAACTTACACTGGACAAAAGTAATGAATTGAATTTTTTCTAAATTTGTACGTCAGTAAAGGTGTTAATATTACACAAGATCAAATTATTGCAATTACATCTTTGAAAAAATCAGATCTGTGTCACATTTATGCAAGAAAATTGTATTTGGATCCTTTTAATGCCATAATGTGAACATAGTCAGATGTGTTTGAGGATGATGATGAATGCCTCTTCCTCAAGACCCCTGACAGCAGCCAAGTCAGATCATCAGACAAACCAAGGGGGGAATATTACAATTTCTGTAAAATCAGGCCGTCTGTGTCGGAAACCAGTCAGTAGATTAATGCAGGAGTGAGTGATGAGGGTTCTGCTGTTCATCAGTCTGGCCGGTGGGAGCATAAGGCCTGGGACACATTACTGTACACACAGACCCTCATCCACTCACACACACACAGCTGCACAATTAACATGGAGAGGAACGCCAATGTACACCACTAGACATCACTATTAACATTTGCTGAACTAAAATACTGTCTGACTGATAAAACTGGCCAATGTGAAGGTTACACAGCATTGGTTAATATCACAAAGCATCTTACAGTGATTAAGAGCAAACAGAATGATGGTAGCACACTTCTACATTCATAAACAAGGACAGGTGTGTTTTACTGTTTGCATGACATGTTGCACTGTTGCACCATTAGCGATTAATTACAGAACAACAAATTCATCCTGAAATAGTTTGACAGTAAATTTTCTTTTCCACCATGTTATTAAACATGTTCGATCACACATGCAAGTCATGTGTGATGAGCTGATACAATTAAAGGGCACGTTTTAATCATGGCAAGCTTTTCTTTCTTATTTTCCCGCTTGCCATAACTTTGACTAAGGATAAAAGTCTTCATTACATTTGATACTTTGTTAATATGATCCACAATTATTTATTATTTTGCAATTTTACTAAAGAATGGGCTATTTCTCTGTCTTTAACATAGCTTGTCCATTTTGGCACCCAAAGAGATTCTGTGCATTGCTCATTAATATGCATTAGCTCATCAACATGTCAAATGTGATCGGCTTTTGCTTAAGACCTGTGTAAAAATACCGCAGTGGTAAAAAGAGGCCAGCATGTTGATCACTGCCATGGCGACTTTATGAATACGACTGTATGAACAGCCCACTGTCTCTTGAAACATATATGAAAATCGTCATATATAAGAATATAAGAAAAGTGTTACACAACATTCTTCTGCATTATTCATGCAATTGGAACGCAATTTTCACCAGAAAGCTCTCAGACTTACATAGTGTAGCTTTAAGTGCTTTGTTTGATATTTTTTTTAACATTTTTTGTGAGCTTTTGCTTCTTATTTAATCGCTTACCTCCATAATGGTTAGGCCCCTCAATATTTGAACACATACACACAACAAGTATGACTCTCATTCTTTTATCCCATCTCTCTCTCTGCCTCTCTGAATAAAACCACAACTCCTCTCCATGTGGTATGCTATGGGGCTACAGTTTGGGGGGACGCTCACTGAATTTTTGCGTTTTCCGATACTCTCCAGATGCAGAGAAAGCAGAAATGGAGGAAGTGGGGAGAACAGAGAGAAAAGACTGAGGAAAAAAGGAGGGGTGGGGGGGGGGTAGACCAAAAGCATGAGCAGGAGTGATGACCTTTCTTTGAGAGCGGTGATAGGGGGAAGAAATGGAAAGATCACGACCCCTTTTTGCTTGAATTATGTTCTGATTTGATTGGGACACAGGAAGGAGTACTAAGAGTCTGTTCACCCTGTATTTATGATATCTCTCTCTCTCTCCTCCCTCTTGCTCTTTACCTCACTGCCCTACAGACTGTGGACGTCAGATGCGGTTCGTCAACACGTCAAGTGTGGTCACACTGGGATCAGACACGTACACACAATCCACCCACACCCTAACGATCGACCACTCTGGAAAAGGCTAACCCTTGCAAGACTCATTCCCACCGCCTCTCAGACAACAAATATTTACCCAGCTTCTTGGTTATTCACTTTGCATGCATGCTCTCATTCGTGTAATCTGTCCTCTGTTTTTGTAAATCATTCTACGACTATTTTTACTCAAGCGGTTCAAAGACCCCCTCTCCAGGAGATTCTCTTGAACTCCTTTGGCCTCTTGAAAAAACACATCGCAAACTTGTTGGTCAGCACACATTAGTGTAGATTCACCTCATAAAAGGGGTCAGTGTTACAGAGACAGATTAAATACATTTTCCAGCCTAACCTCTATCTGCACATCCACAGCATGAAGCAACTGCCCATTGGCTTCTGTTATGTTTTAAGTTTATGAGTTTTCTGGGTTTTTTTAAGCAAAAGAAAACGCACTGAAATTATTGACAACTGTTGTAATATGTTACATATTTTAGAGATTCAGTTTAAAAAGTATTCATTTAAGGTCAGTCATAAACTAAAAAGCACAAGGAACAGCAGTAGACTCCCAGTAGTCAGTCATTCCTTCAACCGTCATGTGCAGTATGTCATTGGTAGATGCATCCAGGACACACTGCTCTTTAATAAAACAGATGAGGAAGTAATGTGTGATTCTAATCGTGTCTAATCCTCAGAATGGAGGGAGATATGCAAGTATGTTTTAAGCCTTAAGCTTTATTGATTGATGATAGTAGAATCCTCTTCACTGCCTTTCCATTTAGCAGTTTCTCTTTTAATGGCTGAGGTTAGGATCCAGGATCTGTCACATGACTGCATATTAATACCCACATTATCATTAAAGCTGTAAGGAATTATATGCAAATGCAAGCTCAGAAATCAAGGTTATACGGTTGTATGGAGCCTCTATCAAGCCTTGGAAGTCGCAGATATTGTCGGTGATAACAAATTTATATGAAAACTATAAACGTATGGGGGGCACTGATATGGAAATTGTGTCCGTATATGTATACATACTTGTATGTAAAAGTTTGAACGCCACCGGTCAAATTACATGATTTGTGATCCTCATTTAAGACCACACTTAAATATGGCATTTTCTGTTACTCTGTTATTTTTTGGAGTGTTTCTCTGTAGAGGATGTGTTAACATGTTTTCACTTAAAAATCAATAAAACGTGTTACTTGACTGCAGCGCCCAAACTTTTGCATATGTCTGTGTCTGCCAACAAACGGGTGGATTTAGTGATTTCGAGGCTCTAAGGCAAAAGACAGGAATGAGGCCCCCTGCATGCACATTTTTAAAGTAGTTCAGGCTCTGGACTCTCAAGTGGTGCAACCATCTACGCTGGAAACAGTGGTATCTTGGCAAGCGAACTCATTTTTTCAATTGTTCAGGAAAGTACTCAGTAATTTAGTCCCACTACATTTTGAGAGAGCAACAGAGTTTTTGCTTTCCACCTTCTTTTTGCATTTCTCAGCTGCATTTGGATGACTTTATCTGATCTTCCCTCTCAACACCCAGAAAATCCCACAGAAAACCTCCTCTCCATAACACAGCTTATCGCTATATTGCCTTTTTCATACAAGTCTGTCTTTATGTAGTCGTATCATCACATAACAACATGGAATAGTTCATTATGACCATGACCAGTGGGCTGGGGAGGGGTTGCATCGAAATCACTGAGAAGAATTACTATAATCTCAAGTAACAACTATATAATAACTAACATTAACATGTACAGTATTACAGCATATAAAATTGCAATTTCATGGGGCCGTTGGCTCATGGGGGCCCCAGCTGCCTACATTTGCCCTAGTGCAAAGACTGCCCTTATTAACAGCGATACATAAACCTTATAAAATGTAAAAACTGGGAATATATCAACCTATTTCAGCAATAGAGAAATATAATATTTATTGCAGCAACTCAGCGTCACCTAAACATTCAGCTTTTCTAGTGTGTGAAAAATACACCATCAGATACACCTTTGAAATATCAGTCAAATCTGTCCAATATCAATAAGCATTTTTTGAGCCATTATCGTAAAAAAGAATTAATAGTATAGGCATTATTTCTCAGCTCAGTGAAACAAGTGGAGAAATTCTGTGGAAAGTGCAGTTTCTAATCCTAATTACATTCAAATAATTACATAATGTAAATCAAATGTGTACAAAACCAGACAGCAGCTGATTCTGGATCAGCTGGAGGAGAGTAACTGAGTATTTTACCTGATCCCTCTCCACTGGCGTCCTCTGGCAGCTCCTGCAGCGTCAGCCTCCACTCCAGCGGAGCGTCACATGGCGTCACCGTCACAGACAGCGGCGTGTTGTCCTCCTCTACCACAAAATAGTACCTACAAAAGTGACAGATGCTTCAGCATGAGGGCAGCTGCTAGATATGCTCTTCCACTGAACTCTTTCTGACTGTTGTTTTCAATAACACACTGTAATAGCTCCTACACTTAACCCCTTATGTCACTATGCAGCGTGATCGGCAGTACATTCAGAGACTTTGTCTCCTTTAACTCATTAAAATCTGCCCTGAGAGTAGTTCCTGGATCAGCATGTAAAGGTGGAGCTTTCAGTTTACTACTGTGTTTTCTATCACTGTATAAAAGGCTACAGTATCAGAAGAAGGCGTAAAACAGATTTTACAAAACATTATAAAGCTCTATAGATCGCAAACTCTTACTCAGGCCCATCTACGTCTGCTAGAACGGTAAATGTGGAACAGTTACTTCTCCCTGTAGGTCTTAAAAAGGGCAATCCCAGAGCACACTGCTGCCATTTCAAGCTGCTACTATGATGCTGCTAAATGAGCTCATCACCGTTTTCTAATTTCTCATCATGGCTAAAGGAGTTCACATATATTAAAACATCTCCCTAGTCACAGCTAGCGAGCACTGTCTAATGAGGATTCACCTGCTGAACAGACAGCTGCAGTGTTTTACCACCTCTAAACACATCTCTGTTAGATTACTGACCAGTCTTTAGTGTTCTGCTGCTACAGCGCTGATGAGGTGTTTTTATGTTAGTGAACACATACATCACAGATACCAAACACTGTATCTCTATATATGACATTATCCACTGGACAACGCTACTGCGATTATTGCAGGAAATCTATTAATCTGTTGAACAGTGGCATTTTAAAGGATAGCTTAATGTGCTAGTATAGTTAATGGAAGCTGGTAGGCATGCTTTACGTTAGTTTTGGGATTATTTTAGCCTAAAATGCATTCATCGTGGAGAAGTACCTGCAGGGTGTTATAAGGCAAAATAGTCCCCAAAGAAAACTTTTAAGATTTACCTCTGTTTTACCATCAACATTACAAATAAAACTCAAAAATAGAGGTTATGGTTCAGGATAGAAACACCCTGGTTTGTATGAAGCACGTGTCAAACATTCTAAATGTAGGGAGACAAGGACGTGAGAAGGTTTTTTCAGTTGAGGTGCTGAAATTTTCAGTAGCGTGCATGTAACGTGAATGAGGACGTCAAGCAAGATTATTTGCCTTTAGTTCATTTGAGGTATTTTTTCTCATTAATTTACATCAGAATGTGTCATATGATGCTATAATGAGGAGAGAGATGATGATACATATAACTGATACATCAAACCACTGATGCACATCATCACTCTGCTCTCTTGTTCTCGACAAACTTTATGCAAATAAGCTGAGTGGTGATTCCACATGCCTGTAGGGAGTCACCGATATGGGAACTGTGGGCTGATGCTGATATCTGATATTGTTCATGTCCGTATCTGTGAATGCTGATACATAAAACTTATAAAATGTAGAAACTGGGACTACATGTGCCTGGATTACCATTACAGATAAAGGCTTCAACTAGCATGACTGCTTTAGCATCATGCTAAATATGCACTACATGAGTATTTTTGACTTTTCTTTCAAATAGTGGAACTGCAATGCATTTGAAGTCACTTTGCAACTTGGGCCTGATTATCTATATGGACTCCAACAATTGGAGGTCCACTGATCATTTGGAGAGTAAATAAAATGGCTATATTGGTTTTGTGTCACCCCATCCTCTGGTTCCCATCACCAACACTGTAAAGAAATCAGAGCAAGTTTCTCTACAAGCAACCATTTCACAGTAAAACACTTTTTTGAAAAACTTTAAAATTCCCCTTTAATTGTGGATCAGAGTGCATCTAGCTAGCATTAACAGCCACAAGATAGAGCTATACTGTGGAGAGCTCCATGTTATAATCCTACTCAAAGTTCCCTTTATATAGTTACTGCTTATTTAGGTTAAAACAAACATGTGCAAAGATTTATGAGCGAAACCAATAAAAAAGGCAAGCAGGTGAAAATGGCAAGCAAACCAAACAAACAGAAACAGTGCTGAAGTGAAGAAAGCTCCCCCAGCAGAGAGTAATACTAGAAAGCACAGTAAGAGAGAGAGTGTGGGAACGGTCGTGCGAGGCCATATGTCTTCTGCATGTTTGAGCTGATTAATTTATGTAGGCCTGCACTGACCCTCTCCGCAACAGCCTCGTCCCCAACATGCGCGTGTATGAGAGAGAGAGTGAGTTAGAGAAGTGGTAGGAATGTCCTCTTTCGTTAAAGCCACCTACTTCTCTGACCACTTCTTCATCAAAAGAGATTCTCCTTCAAACACAAACATAAACACACGCATTTCCCAGCATCTCATCCATAATGCATGCCTCCTTATGCCCTCATCAGCTGCACGCTGGCTCTAATAGATTCCACATTCTCCATTAGCACGCTCAAAACATATCCAGACATCTACATGCTAAGTGAAGCTCTGTCCTCCGTGCCTTGGAAAGCATGATTTAGAACATATAAAAGGCTTTGTGATGAGGGATGGGCACATATGAAAGACTTGCAGGTCCGGAACTTAACAGGAGAAGAGAATGTGTTCTTAGGTTTAATGTATGTTAAGGGGAATTTTGGCAACTTTTGAAAATTCTGCATAATTCAGTTATTAAGATGTAAACAAAGTCATTCCTGCTTCATTCTAGAGAAACTTACTTACTAAGAATTGTTTACTGTGGTGGTGATAGGAACCAGATGTCTGAAGAGTTTAATGCCTCACAGGAAGTTATTATATGACATGCACTGCCTGATGTCTGAGATTGTTTTATGATAGTTTTATGTAAAAATGTATTTTTTTTATCTGTTTATGGAGGAGGGGTACATGCAGAGCATTAGAAGGCAAAATAGTCCCCAAATAGTTACCATTACCAACATATAATAACTCAGAAGGCACATGTAGCTTCACAGGGGTTTGTGTGCTCCTGGTCAAATGGCATGTTTTGCTGATTTCCTAAGTGAAAATACACACTTCAGCACATTTTAATGCACAATTACTGTGTATTTGCTGAATTTAACATTGGGAGAAAGAAAAACAAAATGCTGTGTAAAGGTTATGGCACCATTTATATTTTAAGTTAAAAAAAAATCATATTTAAGCGTGTTCCCTGTAGAGGTTGTAATTTGAATGGGGTATACAACTTTTGCGTTCAACTATATTTGCAGTGCCAACATTGCAAGCAACGGTTCATCACCACCATTACAAAGAAAAATATGAGTCACTGAGTTTTTCTTTATATCAAACTGCTCGGATTGACTTTGTTTACATCTCGACACTTGAATTTTGCTGAAATTTGGAAAATTAGTGGAATTCCCCTATTGCTTATCACATTAAAATTAATTGCTAATTAAAGTTTTTTCTCTCCCCTATAAAGCTACCATTTCAGAGAGAGCTAAATGCCTTTTACAAATGATATAAAAAGGCATTTTAAATTGGTATAAAAAAAAATCCCAAAAATATGACAGTGATGATATGTGATTCCTCCTTTGAAAGCACAATTGGACTAAATTGGGTTATAGTCTCTATCTATACAAAAACGAGCCATTATTTTGATTTGTATACATACCTTTAAGAACACCGCACCATGTGTTTTATGTCTGTGAATGTGAGACAGCTGTACATACATGTGTGTACGTGTGTGTGCAGGCATACCTCTTGGGCGTGTCCCTGAACAGGTATCCGCTGATCTCCGCCCCATCAGGAATGACAGAGGAGTCGTGGAACAGAGCCTTGTCCCGGATCTGCATCTGAAACAGGCCTTCATCACGAGTGGGCAACTTCTGTCCCACCACAGCCAGCACCAAGACCACCAGCACACCAAACCAGCCAAACACCAGCCTCATCCTGCCAGAAAGTGAGTGACAAAATGAGTATGAGTACCTTATAAGCAAGATATTAACCCTTAGAAGCCAAAATAACAAAAGCATTTTGTTATCTGCTCTTTAAAATAATGATATTAACTGGTTGTTTGTAGCTGAATGAAATGATGGAGTGTTGTTGAAAGTGTGGATTAAGGTGCCCAATAAAGAGCAAATAATGTTATTTACATTGCAGCTTTGGTTAACAGAAAGTATTGAAAACGCCCTAGAGTGTTTCATGTATTTATTCAGCGCACACAGTGAGATCTCTGCATAAATACAAGCTAATAAAAACTGGCCAAAAAATTGGCCATTGACCAATTTGGCTGTAAAGAAATCAGAATCGGAACCTCCTAACAAAAATCATAATCGGTGTTCACCTAGTTTACAGTCTTGCGTTGTGGAAAGAAAAATATTTTTTTACATTTTTACCATCTTGTCATGGTTTGACTTTAAAGCAGTCAGAAACATTAGACACTCAAACCTAAATAAAACCCGTTGATACAGAATTGAACGCGTTAACACTTATTAACTTATTAAAGCTTATTATTCAGTAGCTACAGGGACTTCAGTGCAAACTAATGGAGCTATTCTTAGGTTATAGAAGTGTGTAATAAAACGTATTATTACCAGCAGGCCCATGGCTTGTTAAGGGGCTAAACTCAAATGTGAATGTAATTCATTATGTAACTGTGCAATTCATTATGCAAGGATGTAATCGTATGTAAATAATCATTAGATGTAATTTAAATGTATAACAAAACAACAAAGGCTCTAGACTACTAGGGGTTAGTGGAAACGTGCCGCATGTGTGCTGGGAACGAAGTGGTCAGTATGAGCTCAGTTCGTACCTGTTAAATCATTAATCATTTTACAGATCAACAACACTACTGCTTTCCTGACCTCTTTCATTCCCAAAAAGCACCAAGACCACCAGCAGACCAAACCAGCCAAACACCAGCCTCATCCTGCCAGAAAGTGAGAGCCCCATCAGGAATGACGGAAAAAAGCCTAAGAAAAGCTTATGTTCAACATCTCCATCGAAAACTCTCTCTGTTACACAGTTACAACAAATGCAGTCCACTTCAAGACCCGTGCTAGACGTGATATGCAGTTGCATATAATATTTGATGACTTGCAAATAACTCTGCCTTTTAAAAACACACTGGAACACACCTGCACTCTTCTGTCTGCTAGTTATCTCCCATGGAACTGAACACAGTCCATTAGTTTAGATAGCAGCTAATAAATAGTGATAAAAGGCTGTTCACTGACTAATTATCTACTCTCAACCAAGAAAATGATACATAAAGTGCTTTAACTTTATCTAGCGATGTTGACAGCTAGCACTGAATCTGCAACTGTACTCAGGAGAAGCACACAGAAACAAACACACAGACAGATGTGAAGCACATGTGGCTGTTTGTATTTGTTCTGGAACGTTTCAGTCGTTCTAACTACTTCATTTGTCATGTTAGTTCCTTTTCTCCTAGTCTAGAGCCAGTTCAGCAAACTTTAGCGAGTCAGGCGTGTGCATGGACAGTGTTGAGATCTTATCACTGTGCTAATATAATGTGCGCTTTTAGGCCATTTAATAAACTAATTTAACCCAAGTCTTCACAATTTTACAGTTTAAAGGAATATTTCAGCATTTTTCAACGTAAGCTCTATCTGCTGGATCTGTGTTGAATGGTCATTTACCAAAGACAATCAATGTAAAGTGTTTCCCTGTAGAAGACAATAAAACCCAATCATTTCAACTCACTTACAATAGAAACCAAAAGGCATTTGCTGAATTCCAAAGCTTATGATATTTTTCATTTCTAGAAGGCTTTTATAAGCTACAAATCTGTATCTATTGTTCTTTTAAAGATGAGACTAGTTTTCCAAAGGAAAGAATTTGTAGTAATACCTTCCCAGCATATTTGTGTGGGAGGAGTCTTCATAAGCTCTGACACCCTAGGGAAAGTGAAAGTGATTGGAACTACTTTTTTTGCTGTAATGTTTGAAAGTTGAATAAAACTTTAGAAGAACACTTTTGAAATTTTCTCTTTCTTAACCTAAAACCTGAGTGCAAATAGAAAAGATTAATTCACAGAACTCAGCAACTGCCCACTGACCTGTACTATGAGTGAGATTCAAGTCAACAGATTTTCTGTTGTACAGGAAAATCAGCAGTACTAATAGAGATAATGTTGTGATTATGTCGAAAAACCTTTGAGAATTCCTTTGCTAAAGGTAACAAAGATGTATCTTACTTAGGAATGAGCAATTCATCATTTTTTTATCAACATCAGTGCAATTTTCAAATTATATTAGTAGTGGGCGATATATCATTTCATCTGGCATACCAACTGAAATCCAGAAAAGTGAGTTTTCTTTTATGTCACAAATAAGCACAGACAACACAGTGTAAAAGCAGTGCAAACCACACTAATGTTAACCCGTTTAGTCAGGAATGTTCAATGAAAACGCAGCAGACCCACGTCACGCTGTCCACTTTGTTTCTGAGGCAGTTCACACAAAGGAGTGGTCGTCTTTTGAGGTTAGCCTTATCTTAACATGGACACCAGACTGACTGCCGCACTTCCTCTCGTACCGCCTAAGAAGCAGGCTGACTCGGTCAGCTGCATCAGAGGAGGTCATGATCTTGGGCCCTTGGACCATCTGGTACCGAAGTGTGAATGACTATAATACTTTCTACATTCCAGTAGCATCTGATGGTCAGAGAGGCGAGTATATGGGACGCACGGATGAGACAGATGACGTGAGAAATTCAATTAAGCTGATGTTGGCCTCAAATTTCCCGTTCCACCTTAAATGGTGCATTTACAATCAGGCGCATGTACAGGTGCCAGAATGTAACTACTGCTCCATTTAAGGTGGAATAATAATATGAATAAGCCGAATAAAGAAAAAAATGGCGGTTCAAAACGTTTTAATTATACCATGATTAAGCGCTTTTCCTTTATCTTAATCTATTGATGTTTCCTGTTGTCAGCTGTGCCTTTTTATGCTAAACTGAGAACAGCCTTAACTAATTGTTCAATTCCACATAGAACAATGTTAAACTGGCCCGTCCAGGCAGCTCTTGCCCATGCGTGACTGCATTATTCCCACCAGCCCATCAGTCTCTGGCCATTACCCAGCATGCAGCGCTGCTCCATGTCACGCCTGCCTCGAGTGGAGGTCAGATCACATCCTCTGTCTATTGATTGGGCCTCATTGATCGAAGCTGATGGGAAGGCCCAATCCCCGCTGATATAATCAGGCTAATGATGGCAGATTAGCCCGATACTTTACTGCCATTTTACTGCAGGAGAGAGAGAGCGGGTGTCCTTTTAATGACCCCTCGTCCACCCTCTCCCCCCCCTTCTCTTTTCTCTTTTCTCGCCGTCTCTCTTTCTCTCCTCTTTTCTAGTCCTCATTCATTCAAGCTTTGTCTTGCTTTGTTTTCCCTCCTTCTATCATTCTCCATTCTCTTATTCCACCTCCTTCCTATTTAATAACAAATGTACGCAAACATTCTTTCTGTTCTTCCGCTGTCTAGGACGTTTGGCTTCTCGCTATTGGAAATAAATGACAAAAGCTTTGCATTAAAAAGAGTTTAGGTTTACAATCAGAGCCAGAAACTGTCACTTGCACATCTCTGTTTTCAAACTATTTAGAAACCAAGGAGAAGAAGAAGAAGCACTGATACTGAATTCCATCATACGAGCACAACACTTTCACTTACACTTTCAAAAATTCAGCAAAAAAACTTTCAGAACAGAGCTAACTTTAGGAAAATGACTGATTTCTCTCTATTACCCAGTTTGATGAAAATGTAATAATTTGAGAATTACAATTTTTTACATTAAATTAACTTTTTGTGCATGTGCATGTCATTACATAGGTCACCCCAGCTGGAGAACACACTACAGGGCAAATGTAGGGATGCACCAATATGGAAATTGTGAATCAGTGCTGATATCCAATATGTTTCATGTGCATATTTGCAATGCCAATACAGAAACATTAGCAAAAAGTACAAATGTGATCTAAATTCTTCTGGATTAGCTTTACAAAATAATGTAACACTGACAGTCGTACGCGAAAGTTTAAACACTCCCTCTCAAATTACATGATATGTAGCTTTTCTAAGTGAAAATGAGTTAACACATCCTCTATAGAGAACACACTGGAATATTACATTTTTCTGCAAATTTACTGCATATTTTTTATTTATTTGCTAAGTTTAACATATTGGGAAAAAATAAAATGTAAAATATACAACAAGCCATAATTCTGCAAATTCCCCTAATATGTTAAATTCAGCAAATAAACAGTCGTTGTGCATTAAAATGAGCAGTGTGTTCTCTGTACAGGAACATATTTACACTTAGAAAATCAACAAAACCTTGAAAACATTTTCAACTGAGGCATCCAACCTTAATGGAAGTTTACAAATGCATGAAAATGAATAAAATGCAGCAGCCCAGGGTCACCTACACATTCTGCTTTTCCAGAGTACAATAAATACATCAGCAAAAATTGGTTTTAAGTAACGGTCCATTCCACCTAAACATCTGTCTGATATTTGGTTTATATTTGGTTTTTGAATTCTGACAGGCCGTGCTATCCAAATTCAACACCTTTAAGGCCCCAACCTACTTTAATACCAAGTATGGAAATATTCAACCTCATTCAACAACAAATTTACATGCCAAAGTATTCAGTCTTATGAGCATCGGTGAACCAATAAGCATGCTCGTTCCAAAATCTAGACTGCTGATTGGCTGTGTAAATTACATTCCATATGCATAATATTAATGTCAGCACTTCTTAATAACCCATTATGGTCAGTAAATGCACCAAAGTTGTGCAACTCACTTCTTCATTAAGCAACACCCAAAGTATTGTTCAGGAATCATTATCGACATTTAGGCCTTGGTATTGGTACGAATACTGAAAAGATTCTGGAACAATACCTTGTCCTACATTCTT